AGCGATGGTGGATCAGATTCAGCCAGGCTGATGCCCAGCGTGTGCCAATCCACCACAGTCCTCGTGACGGGAACGGAATCGGGAGCGCGACCGAGCTTCATAACGACGGGACGGTGGTCTGAATCTAACTCTGAAACTACTTCGATCGAGTGTAAGCGCAGAGTTACGTTTTTTAATAACGCTATGTCGAGTATATCCGGGCGATGCGCGATATTTAGCGGGTAGTGAGTCGGGGTTAGCGGAGCGACGATATCGAAGGCGAGATCATCGACTAACGCATCAAGCCGCCTGCCATTCGGGGTTGTGGTGTGTGAGTTCCACCTGATGTGTTTACAATTTAGGTCGCCCGCCAGAATGACAGAGCTCCCCATGCCGAGCAGCGCCTCGATATCACTGCTTAGAACGATCTTATCCGGTGGAAGATAAACGGACGCGATAACGATCGGCGCGTGTCCCGTCAGTGAGATTCGGCACACTGATACTTCGATATTAGCGAGTAGATATAAGTTCTAAAGTCTCAGTATAGTTACAACGGCTGCCCCGCCCTTCAAACCGAAACGCATTACTGCGTCACCTGTAGGTATCTGTGCATACTCACAAGAGGTCCTACCACCAGTAATTACGCAACTCATAATTTTGCGGCTTTGATTTTTATTACACGATTAGTATTTTATAAGATTTGATAATATCTATGAATCAACACACTGTTCGCTATCCTGCTATCGTGTTTTTTGTTTATTCATTACAATTCTTTTTCAATTATCTATACTAATACTAATAATATTATAAAGAGGAAAGATTTGTTTGTTTGTTTGTTTCGAATAGGCTCCGAAACTACTGGACCGATATGAAAAATTCTTTTTCCATTAGAAGCCGACATTGTCCCTGATGAACATAGGCTACTTTTTTTATTATTTTTTTTATTTTTTTTTTGGTTTCATGTGTGTTTTAATGTTTCCGAAGCGAAGCGAGGGCGGGTCGCTAGTATGTTTTATAAACACACGACAAGATTAATATCTAATGTTCCCTTATGCATAATAAGTATTAGGTACTTCGGTGCTTAAGCAATAAACATTTTTAAAACTCATAAACTGCTCTAAGGGCAGCTTCCTTCGTAGACTGCGGAGAGCACGCGTTTTCAGAAGATCGAATCAAATTGATGATAGGTATCTGTACTACTTCAAGAAACTGCTACTTATTATAATTAAAATAAATAAAAACTTTTACCATAGAACGTTAATAAATTCAAAAGACTACGCTGCGAACAGTTGTATAACGTCGCATACAATTTGTACAAGCATTCGTACAATACCGCAGTCTTTTAGAAATTGCTTCGCTTTCATGAATAGGTACGGCGGCACGATCCTGCTGAATGAATAAAGACGTGGATATATTGTTGTATCCGTGATCGTTGAGGCGAATGTGCACTGTATTAGAGCGTTTCCATTCTACTCAATGACGTGCCGTTATATATTTACATCTGGGACTCTGATATGTAGTGAGACAAAAAGTCCTTATGCTTTTATCTGCACATTTAACTGAATACCGTTTTTTAAACTGCGTTGGGCTCTCGCCCCTAGTTTGGTCAGATAGGAAAGGTGAGGTTCATTCCGACGACTGCATTTAAGTTGTGTTATTCATAACCAAATTATATAAGGTGAATTGTCAGATCGCATTCCCGATCCTGCGGACAGAATGGAAAGCAGTCGACGTCGCCCCAAACACGTCATTTCGGATGCTCCCGATCCACTAACCGTGCTTTTAGGTACCTCAAGCACCGGTCATAGTTCTCGTCGAACTCGTCGCTTGCGACGAAGGGCTCGACGAGTAAATTAACCCTCAGACACAGCCCACTGAGTTTCCCCCGGATCTTCTCAGTGGTTCGCGTTTCCGATCCGGTGGTAGATTCTGCGAAGCACGGCTCTTGCTAGGGTTCGTGTTAGCAACGTCATCAGGTTTGAGCTCCGTGAGCTCACCTACTAGCTAAGGCGACGCTGATGTAGCCTTTCAAGGCTATCCAGCTTAGGTAGGAAAAAAAGTCAGATCGTCCGTCAGTGTTGTGTACCTACTGCGCACACTTTCTCTTACTTTCTGCCTTTTAGATTTATAATGTTGAGGATTATAATTTTTGCAGTGCAGAATATATTTATATATTTCTTTGTAGTTACTTATGATGATAGTGTACTTATGGTTGAATTCTAATAATTGTATTGCTGATAAAGCTGTTTTTTTTGTCTGAAGACTTAAAGTTAAAATTAAATTCCATTGGTACAGCAAGATAGCCTGTTCCAGAGTTCCTCATTTCAGCCAAACTTTAAACAACTTTCCATTTCGTATATTCTAAATTTAATCGCCGACGCAATACGTTTCCGTACTATTAAATATTTGATTGCTTTTGTCAGAAATTTTAATTAGAAAAATATAAAATCGTGATACAACGAGCACCGATGCCGGTGCGCCCGTATTAGCTTCTTGCAGCAAAACCTCGTACGACTCCGACCTTATTGTGCACTAGCAGATTAAAAATAATACTCGGGCTCGCGGAGCATGCGTTTTTCAAAATAATTTATTTAAGAACGAACAAAGTGATTTCTAATAGGTAGTTGTGTTTTATTTGATGCCCGTTAAATAAGCAATCGAGAGGGCTATGCTCAGAGTTTCCCTGCGAGATCAAATCAGAAATGAGGAGATTCGCAGGAAAACCATGGTAACCGACATAGCCCAAAGGATTGCGACATTGAAGTGGCAGTGGGCAGGACACATTGCTCGCAGAACGGATGGCCGTTGGGACTAGAAAGTTCTTGAGTGGCGCCCGCGTACTGGAAGACGAAGCGTGGGTAGGCCTCCCACAAGATGGGCCGACGATCTATTGAGGTTTGCGGGGATCCGCTGGATGCAGCAGCGCAGGACCGGTCTTTATGGCGAGGCTTGGGGGAGGCCTATTACCAGCAGTGCACGTTCATGGGCTGATAATAAGAAGAAGAAACAATACGTTCTATCAGCTACAGCATTAGCAACTCTGTAAACATTTAAACATAATTAGCTTACAATTTTTTTCTTCAACACATAATTTATAATTCCATTTCCGAGGAACTACATAAAATGTTTCGCGTCATTAAATAGGTCGTAAACAGACGGAAGCTTGAGTTACCGCGGCCGAATGAAAAAAAAAACACTCGGTTATTACGTCGTTAAGGTGTCCGAGCATTGTTTATTAAAGGAAAACAAATAAAATGTTTGAAACTTATATTATTGTGTATGAATTTGCAGCGAATCCGTGGTTAATTCTCGTCCAGCAGTAATTTGAGTTAACTTTTACGCGATCGAGAAGTTAAAAACTCGCGCTAAGCACACAGGTCAAGGGTAACTAGTTAAAGTTAAATTGGTTGCTAATCCTACCCATGAAAGCAGTCTGCAGTGGTGGCTTGGTGCACTGATGATGACTATAATATGTTGTATCGATTGGGTTAAGTACGTTAAGTCTACCTTAGATGTGACTTACATGAGTAATATAGCAACGTGAACTATTGGCACATAGATCATCCATTATTGGTTAAAATAAAATGGTTTAGGAACTAAAAACGTGACTGTATCCTGTTTTTTATGATTGAAGGATTACTGGTGGCCCGGAGGCCTTTCCAGTTTATCAGGACAGGTGGGCGAGCAAAGGGTCAGCCAAGAGGGGTGGAATTTGCTAACAGCTACCCGAGCGCCTCTGAAAGAGACATAATACCTACTCAAGAGCAGCTGCTTCGCGAATGAATCTACTACCGGATCGGAATCGCGACCCGCTGAGGAGATCCGGCAAATTGTACCGTGTATGAATAGTACTACGCAAAAGTATGCTGTCATCGTTACAAAGCGATTTACCTTGTAAAAAATAATTATCAAAACTTACATCACAATGCAACTTGAAGTCTTGACGTAGTACTAAAATCGATAACGAAACCATTTAATCCTTTTACGTTCTGCTAAAACTACTATAAAATAAAATTCGTATCACAATCGGCACAGTGTTACGATATAATTGGTAACGTAAGCTTCGAAAATGGTTTCGGATTTCAGAAAAAAGAAGTTGTTGCTAGTTTTCCAAGTGTTTTTTGACACTGACAAGAGTGGCACTATCGAGAAGTCAGACTTCGAGAAGTCCGCGGAAGGATTAGCCAAAGCCCGAGGATGGGCCCCAGGCAGCCCTGCCTTAGAAGTAGCAAAGGAGCACCTCACTAATATTTGGAATGGACTCCAGAAGGCAGCTGATATAGACGGAGACGGAAAAATAACTCAAGAAGAATGGCTATCGCTATGGGACAAATACGCTCAGACTTCTACACCTCAGGAATGGCAGGATGTTTTTTGCAAGAGCCTTTTCCACGTCCAAGACTCGGGCGGCGATGGCGCGATCGACGCTGAAGAGTACTCAACTGTTCAACAGTCTTTTGGCATAGATAAAGCTCAGGCTGTTGAGGCGTTTAAAAAGATGGCTCAAGGTAAAGATTCGATAACATGGGCGGAGTACCAGACTTTATTTAAAGAGTATTTCACGAGTGATGACCCCAACGCCCTAGGAAATTGTATCTTAGGTCAACCGAGTTTCTAAATCACTATGCTTTGATTATATTTATATTAGTATGTAATATAATAATATTATAGAATATAATATGTTTCATGTTTAATATTTATGTAATTAGTGTTGTTATTTATTTATTTTTCTATAAACGCTTTGAAAATAAAACCCTTTTTTGTTCCGTCGCTACTTTTAATCCAATTTATATTAGATTATGCTATATATTTATTTAGGGAAGGTAATGAGGGTTTTAAGTCAATCTAAAACAAGTGCCGAATAAATGAACTAACCCTGAACTTTTAATTGAAGTAGCAGATACATGTTAATTAGTGCAGCTTAATTACATGATCTAATTTGGCGCTACAATTTTTTGTAATTGTCTCAATTTGTTTCTTAACTGACATCTTTTTGAAGCTGTGATTTTTTATTTCTCTTTTCTTAAAAAAAAAATTGTCTTTACCCTGTGTCCTATTCTGAATCAACGTGAATGTAACATATCATGATGATAGCTTCAGTAGTTAATACGTGCAACAGCAAAACAAACAAACAAAATTTCACATTTGTAACATTAATACGAATTACTGTTACCAGAAACTAATCAAGTCATTTTTTTTTTTTTTTTTTTTTTTTTTATTGCCTTTGTAGGCAGACGGGCATACGGCCCACCTGATGGTGAGTGGTTACCGTCGCCCATGGACTTCAGCAATGCCAGGGGCAGAGCCAAGCCGCTGCCTACCGCTTAATACTCTCCACAAGCCTCGTTTGAAGAAGGACATGTCATAGCGCTCGGGAAACACCGTGGAGGGGAGCTCATTCCATAGCCGGATGGTACGTGGCAAAAAAGATCTCTGGAAACGCACTGTGGATGATCGCAGTGGCTCCAGGTAGTATGGATGAACTCTACTCCGGTGGCGGGCGGTGCGATGGTAAAAACGAGATGCTGGTATCATCTCGAACAATTCCTCAGAGCACTCCCCATGGAACATACGGTACAAAGCACTCCCCATGGAACATACGGTACAATTTTCAGGTAAAGGTTATCCGAGTAATTATGGCGTTATTTTTTTAACACATGTTTTTGTGTTTCAATTTATATAAGTTTGATTTTGTGTTATACATAGTCATGGAGTTCATGAATGCTCACTGTTGGATGTTTTTACTGTTAGCTAAGTCAGGCAGTCAACCGGCCGGCGGTCCCATAAACACAATAATATAATTATGACCATGCGGTACCCGTGAAGTCCAGAATCGTGAAAAGATTAATCCCCGTATCTTTAGTCCTTCACACGAGTTTAACTTGACGCGAAACTTCCAACGCGCGCTTTGGTATGCTTGATCGTAAAAATAGCCTTCACTCAAACGTGCCTCGAAATTCCTCACCGGAGTGGAGTAAATGAACTGTCAAGTCAAGGTACATCGCGACGTACCTTGAGCGTTCCTCAAAACCTCGAAGCAGCGTCTAGTACAAGATGGCTTCCGATAACAGCTTTGAAGAATTTATTGAATATATTTTTGATAACAGAGTGTATAACTATCCGTCGTAAAGGTATTTGGGAGATGCGGATAATCCCTTGGAAGTTTACGATGACGACGAATCCCGAAAACGTTACCGACCTAGCAAAGATTCCGTTGTACATATTCTGCTGCCTTTGTTGACTAACAACATTAATGAAAGCAATCGTGAGCTACTTTTAACGCCGATATTACAAGTGCTAACTGCTCTGAGATTTTACGCAACAGGCCATTTTAAGGTTCGTGCATAATGTGCTTCTCTGTCTACATATCTATAATTTATAACTTCCATTTGGATCATGTGGTATGGTAATTTTAATTTATTAATAATTAATAATTAATAATTTTATTTTATATGTATTTATTTTTCAATGCAATTAGTGTCAAACAGACGGTGGCAGCTTGATCAAATTTTCCTCGAACTGATGACGTCATGGTGACGAAATACCTCGACTCTACCTCACTCGAGTAGAGTTGAGGAATATTGTAATATAAAATGCCAAACTCGAGTAAGTTTTGGAGGTACGCTCGAGGCGTCCTCGGCTGAGTTAGAGTGGAGGAATGTTTCAAGAAATGTCTAAAGATATGGGTGTAAGACACTCGTGGCTTTAAAGTACTAAGGTACGACATTACGGATGGACATAATGGACGAAATTTTAACGTACGAGTAATAAATAGCAAATATTATATCTTATATTTAGCGGTACCTACCCATTTGTTATTAGCAGTGTAAATAGATAATGGCTACCGTAGAATTATCGCCGCTTAAGTAGGGAAAACAGAAATATTCTAAAATATAATCCTCACGTCCTGTCGTGGTTCGTGCGTGACGTTTAGCATTCAGCTGTCTCGCCCGGAGCATTGCAATGCATCAAAATGAAAAGTTAAAAACAAACAGGAAATACAAAGAAATGTTACTTCATGCTCACCACGGTCGTGTCAGCGGACCCACGCTCTTTTGTTTACGCCGTACATTATACTTTGGCTATATTTTATCACGAACGAAACGAGAATTAAAACCCCCTCTATGGATTTCCGGTTCCTTAAATCACAATTTCGAAAATATTAAAAGAATGAAGCGGTACGCAGCGGCTAGACGGTCTCTAGTCTCGCTAAGGTCCAACTTTTTTTTCCCTACCTAAGCTGATAGCCTTAAGAGGCTATTTTAGAGTAATCTTAACTAGTAGATGAGCTCACGGGGCTCATACCGGAGTGATGCTAACATTGACCCTAGCAAGAGCAGTGCTGCGCAGAATCTACCACTGGATCGGAAACGCGATCCACTGAAAGGATCCGGCGAGAAACTCAATGGGCTGTGTCTATGGGTTAATTCGCTCGTCGAGCCCTTCGTCGCGAGCGACGGATTCGACGAGGACGGTGACCGGGATGTCCAACGAAAAAATCACTACGCATCAGGCGTTTAGATCATCAACTGTATCTTAGGTTATGGGTGTTACATCATCGTCCCTTCCATTGTGAGGTTGCCTGTGGAGTTGAATAATTCCGAAAGAATATTTCATGCCCATATATGTTTTGTCAATACGTTTAGAAGTGTTTTAAAGTTTTATTTACTTCTTATCTACCTCCGCAGTACTGGGATTAACAACAGATTTTCCTGGTGTTATGTGGTTACTGGAGCTCATAAATAGATGCCCTCCCGTAACTTGCGACATTAAATATATATTATATATTTCCCTACGTATTCGCTGGTAGCTTAAGGGCCTCAACCTGAGATATTTTGCTAGCAAAATTGCTAGCAATAGCAGAGCTTCGCCTGTGCCATCCATACCATTTTAATGACATAGTATGACGTCTGTTTCAACTTTTAAAGCGGAACGCATTTAATTAGTCGTGGTCAAAATAGGTGGTAACTACAGTGGTGGTACATAACCATCGTGGGCTCATAAGACAACTAGTAATTACGGCTTGATTTTGAATAACAAAATAAAACTAAACTCGTTTTTTAATATTTCAAACAGCTCTAAATTACAGCAATACTCCCATACCAATAAAGGATAGAACGGTAAATAAATTATAACTGCTGCAATTTTATACGACACGATTTTCATAATCAGCTCATGTTCGATATGGTCAAATAAATACCGAACGTTGCCAACTACAAACAGATAACGTCGACATGATAATCAACGAATTTCAATAAGCGATTAAACAAAATAACAACTGATAAATGCGGGCAAAGTCTATATAAAACCCGACGCCAATAAATCTAGATTTGTCCCGATCGCTGCGACGAACAAAATGGTGTCCGAAGTCAGAAAAAAGAAACTGCTCCATGTCTTCAGCGTCTTCTTTGACTCCGATAAGAGTGGAGTCGTAGAAAAACAAGACTTTGAACTGGCTGCCCAGAACATCGCCAAACTCAGAGGGTGGGCCCCTGGAAGCCCCACCTACGACATCCTGCAAGAAAGCATGATCGCCATCTGGCTGGGATTGCAGAAACAAGCCGACGCTGATGGAGACGGAAAAGTTACTCAGGACGAATGGCTAGCTCTTTGGGACGAGTACGCCAAGGACCCAGCTGCAGCAAAGGACTGGCAAAATCTTCTGTGCAAAAGCATCTTCCAGATCCAAGACTCCAGCAATGATGGTTCAGTCGATGTCAATGAGTACGTGACCGTGCACGAGTCTTTTGGTCTCAATAAGGAAGAAAGCACCGAGGCCTTTAAAAAACTGGCTAAAGGTAAAGACTCAATCTCTTGGGCAGATTTCCAGGAATTGTGGAAGGAGTATTTCAGCAGCGACGACCCGGACGTACCCGGTAACTACATCTTCGGTAGATTGACTTGTTAAACTTAGAATTTTAGTAAATAAATTATTTTATACGTACATACTCTTTTTATTTCTGGGGAAATTAAAAGTATATGGTATATTGATTTTTTTGTGATTATAACAGATCATTCTAAACTTGCTAAGGTCAAAATGTCTTTTAGTTTAAGTACAATACCACTCGAGTAAGTACATACCCACTCATGTAAAGCTTTCCTTCTTTGAGAACGGTTAGCTGGTAGATAACTCAATTGTTGAGTTAAGCTCGCCATTTTTTTATATCTTATCGCAATTACTGTATTATATTAATAGTGTGTACAAATAAAGAATAAATATAAATATACCATAAATAAAATTTACAGTAAACAGTATATTCGTAGGTACGTCCTCTGAAAGAGCAATTATACATTCTATTAGACTTTTTGTTCTAATTCAAGTCTACATATACTTGTTATAATTTTTTTTTATGAATAAGGGTTACTAGTGGCCCAGAGCCCTTTCCACTTTCACTAGAACAGGTGGGCGAGCAAAGGCTCAGTTAGGAGGGGTGGGCTTTGCTATTTTAAACTATTACATGCTATGCTAATTAATAATTTGTTACAAACTGTCTTTAGATTATTTTCATCGATAGAGCAGTAATGCGTTTCGGTTTGAAGGGTGGGGCAGCCGTTGTAACCATACTAAGACCTTAGAACTTATATCTCAAGGTGGATGGCGCATTTACTTTGTAGATGTCTATGGGCTCTAGTAACCACTTAACACCAGGTGAGCTGTGAGCTAGTCCATTCATTTAAGCAATAAAAAAAATGCGTTGAAAAAAACTGATATTATTTGAATCAATCTATTTGAGCAATACGCATATTGTTATAGCCCCTTGATGGTTAATTTGTGGTGACAGTATTGGTGTTATATGTTGCTCTCTTAGCGGCTCATGGTTAAAACATCAACAGCTTGCTCGTCTAGTTTTTTGTGTCCATCCAGAAGACCATTGAGGATGCTTTCATCCAAATTTAAGGAGGAAGAAGCCCAAGTTCTATTATACGATGCTGTCTTCGAGGTAGAATTGGTCTGTACTGTTTAAAACGGCACTGATTAATGATAACTAAATTGTTGGGGAATTATTTATTAAATACAGATTATTATTATACAATAAACTACAATTTGAGATTTGAAAGCGCAGCGTGTGCTTGAGGTGATCCGAATAAAAACTACATTTTGATTACTGGAGCCCATAGGCATCTACAACGTAAATGCGCCACCCACCTTGAGATATAAGTTCTAAGGTCTCAAGTATACAACGGTTCAAAATGGCACAGTTTTAACAGGGCTAAGCTGGCCAATTTTCCCATAAAGCTCACAACCCGTACCGTCGAAACATACTTACAGATGCTAAAATAATTATACTTAATGAAATTAAATGTTGGGAAGTTTCAAATAAGTGTTTAGCAAATCTTCACGTTTGCATCATCGTGGTAACATCACATGTCCGCAACGGATAAAGTCTTATCACATTTTATCACGTAAACCTTCCTGCAGGCGCGATAAAGATACGTGCATCATGCTATCGAGTGTTCGCTATAAAAAAATCTATGAGCGCGGACAATTTGGCAAATGAGCGACGCACGACCCCTCTGCCATTAGGAACTCTCTTTTATCGCATTAGTTTTGGTTCCGGACCTTCGAATGTTGGACTCGGCTGTTTGATATTTGAAAATTTTACGTATTCTGATGTTGTACTATTTAGAGCGTTTGCTTCAAGCTTTTGATTTGATTTTAATAGAAAAATTATCGTATTTTTTAAATTATTATACCATAAAAAGCTATAAAAATGGCTTCAAGCCTGTTTTATTTTGTTTATGTAAAAAAACATTAAAGTCGAAGTCGTCGTGGACTAAAGGATAAGATAAAAAAGGTCCGGTGCATTTGTATCTAGCGATGCATCGGTGTTCGAATCCCCCAGGCGGGTACCAAATTTTTCTAAGGAAATATGTACTTAGCAAACGTTCACGATTGACCTCCACGAAAGGAATAGCATCGTGTATTAAAAATCAAATTCGCAAAATTATAATTTGCGTAATTATTGGTGGTAGGACCTCTTGTGAGTCCGCGCGGGTAGGTACCACCACCCTGCCTATTTCTACCGTGAGCAGAAATGCGTTTCGGCTTGAAGGGTGGGGCAGCGGTTGTATACTTGAGGCCTTAAAACTTATATCTCAAAGTGGGTGGCACATTTACGTTGTAGATGTCTATGGGCTCCAGTGAGCAAAATATAGTTTTTATTCGGATCACCTCAAGCACACGCGCGTGTGTTTTCAAATCTCAAATTGTACTTTATTGTACTTCTATACCGTTCCCTCACTGCTGAGGATCGCGACCACATGTGATGTTCCTCCACTGTGTTCAATCATGGGTGGCATGGACCGCATGGTACAGACTACCACCAAGTGCTTCTCTTACTCGATCTGACCATCTGGCTGGTGTTTTGCCCACGGCGCGCTTGACCTCAATGCGACCCGCAATTATGAGCTTCTCTAATTCATGTCTGGGAGACCGCATTGTGTGTCCGAAGAAGCTCATAACACGTTCCCGGCAAATGGAAGAGAGCCTTTTTCAGATGTTTAACTGCCTTAGAATGGACTCGTTAGTTCTCATGGCAGTCCACGGTATTCATAACATCCTCCGCCACATTCACATTTCAAAGGCATCGATCTTTTTGCTATCGCGGCTTTTCATGCACCATGTCTCCGCCCCGTACAGGAATATGGGAAAGACCAGTGCCCGCACCAAGGGCATTTTGGTTTTACAGCAAACGCCACGATTTTTCCAGATCTTCCCGAGGTTGGCCATCGCAATTTTGGCCATACCGGATCTTTGGCGTAGTTCTCCCATGCAGCCACCCTCGGATGTTATTTGCGACCCAAGATATATGAAATCCGCAACTTTCTCGTAGTCGCTGAGTGCATCAAAACGTGGAAGACGTTGCGCTCTATCTATTATCATTATTTTGGTCTTCGAATGGTTGATCTTAAGACCGAGTTTAGTACTTTCTTCTTCTACACGGTTCGGTGGAATTGCCATTTTCTCTTCATCTGATGCAAGCATGGTAGTGTCGTCAGCGTATCGTTCGTGAGTGTTTCACCGCCCAGGAAAATACCGCCGTTCCAGCCTTTAAGTGCTCACTTCAATATATATGTGCTGTAAAGAATAAATAATTTGGGCGACAGAATGCAGCCCTGACGCACTCCACGTTCTGTATGGAAGGATCTAGATCTTCGATTATCCAGTTTCATGAAGCAAGAGCCATCAAGGTACATATTACATCAGGTACATACAGATGAGGAGGAACGCCAAATTCAATTAACACATCAAACATGGCTCCATTGAACACAGTCAAACGCCTTCGCATAATCTATAAAGCATAGCACCAGAGGCTCGTTAAGCTCACGAAATTTCCTCAATGAGCACTTTGACGTTCAATATTTGCTCGCGAGTTCCTTTTCCAGCTACAAAGCCAGCCTGTTCTCTCGGTATCTGGTGGTCTATGAAAGCTGATAGTCTACTGTTTATTATGCGAAGGAGTATTTTACTCGCGTGGGACACGAGTGACAGGGTTCGTTAGTTCCCACACTTTTCTTTGGAGCCTTTCTTGTGAAGTGGTACTATTGCAGATTGTGTCTAATCACTGGGCCATTGGACTATTTTCTAAATCTTGGTACATATCTGATGGATAATTTTTGTCCCTTCTGAACCCAGACTTTGAAACATCGCTGCCGATACGCCATCCGGACCCACCACCTAGACTTGATGGTTATATAATCAATCTGGTTTCGATGTACAGATGATATCGCATCAAAGTATATAACCTTCTCGGGTGGTGTTCAAACCAGGTGTTCATGATGACTTTATTGTAATAATCTGTATTTAATAAATAATTCCCTAACAATTGAGTTATCTTATCTTGCTTTGTACATTGTAATTCGTACAAATAAATCATGTTGATAAGAAACCATATTTTTCTATATAGGCTATATTCAGTCTATATGGTAGTATATTTTTAATTATACAAAGGTACAGTTTATTAGTACTATTTATTAGTATTATGCCATTTATTTTATACACGTTGGCTAAACTTTGTGCTCTATCTCTAAAGGTCTTTGAAGGTAGCGAATTGGCTGTACTCAAAAATCCTTTGCCTACTTAAGAAACAAACAAAAAAACTGCTACATTTATTAGTACTTCTTCTGTACTAAGTTTCAAGTTAACAACATAAATTAAGCTCGACTTTACAATACTTTACTGGTGGTAGGACCTCTTGTTTACTGGTGGTAGGACCTATTGTTTATTGGTGGTAGGTCCTCTTGTGAGTCCACGCAGTTAGGTACCACCGCCCTGCCTATTTCTGCCGTGAAGTAGTAATGCGTTTCAGTTTGAAGGGTGGGGCAGCCGTTGTGATATATGACTTACTTGAGACCTAAGAACTTATATCTCAAGGTGGGTGGCGCATTTACTTTGTAGATGTCCATGGGCTCCAGTAATCACTTAATACCAGGTGGGCTGTGAGCTCGTCCACGCATCTAAGCAATCAAAAATATAAAAACTCGAAAGCATGTAGAACTAACAAAAAACAGACACGTCTACAAATATTCATCATTATTCACAACATAATACAGATGACACCTCTACTTGCTTCGTTGCTTTCATTATCAATTTTCAGTTTAAATATAGTTCTATTTATCTTATCAAAAAACGCCAGTGGTGTTACAATTGTGTGTTTATTACTTCTAGTTCATGGAAAGTGAATAATCTTTTTTTTATGTTTAAGACATTACTGGTGAGCGCCTGGTTGAGCCTTTGCTCGCCCACCTGTCCTGGTGAAACTGGAAAGGTCTCTGGGCCACCAGTAATCCATCATAAAAAAGGAAATGAAACCTCTTAATCTCCTCGGTGCGAAGTTATATTCTCTGTGTTTCCGGCGCAAGTCACTTCTTAGCTCTAAGCTTGAGAACTAATACTAGGGTTGTTTGTACACGGCATTGACTTTAATATCTTGCCTTCTCGGTCCATTTTGAATATGTTAAAGACTTCGAAAGGTTATGATGTCTTCTGGCTCCATATTGACTCCGGCAGCTGCAGGACACCAGGAGGACCGTCAGACCAATATTAATGATGATTTTCACAAAAGACTTGTGCGTAAAGCTACTGCTTCCAAACTCGATTGAGATCCTAACATCAGTTATGATGCTTTCCACAAAAAGTAAGGAAATCCCTTTACCAGAAACCATTTTTTACAAATTAGAGTTAACTTTTAAGCTATCGAGAACTTTAAAAAACTCGCATTAAGCACACGGATCTCGACTTCTCATGCGGCAGACTACATTACGCGTGGATCTCGAATAATCGTTGAGACTTTCAAGGCTGAATTGTGTAATAAAATTAAACAGTACGATGACTGCTATTGACGTCAAAGGCCATGTTATCATCAGACCATTCTCAGATAACAAAATTTGAAGCTTAGCTTTGATTTATAATTGGCTTGTATACATAGATAGATAGGTAGGTATATTTTCTGACTAACCTTGATTCTGAGAAATTAAAAAAAAACAACGTAATTTTAAACTAAGAGAATAAAAATAGTAACTCCGAAGTCGAACTCTGCGATCAGTATTCAACAGAGTCCGTATCGCGGAATTTGTTAAAATATTTTGAACTTACATATTCTAAATTCTTGTTACGTTGGTATATTTCCAGTGTTCATAAAATAATAAATCAAATCTTTTTTTGTTATCTATCTATCTATCTTCTATATATATAATTTGACTAATTTTGGTCTTGAATTATGTGTCAAAGTCCTGAGAAGGTTTAAAAGGTAGATAAATATGAAAATGCTCGGAATTAAATAAAAATAACAATTTTGTTCGGCGGATTCCTTTTGTTTGTTTTAGGTTTATTTTACACAAAACTTTAGATACTATATTTATCGATTGAGACAATACGAAGTCTGCCGGGTCAGCTAGTACAGTATAAATAATATTAGCCTGTAAGTAAACTGCCACATCCGTATTTCGTGACCGCAGTGTGTGAGCGAGGGCGGGCGTGCTCGCGACCGTGACGGATGCCTTCTATCTGTCAAGCCGCTCCGCCCGAGATACTCCTGTTTATGCTTACATGTAAACAGATATACAGTGTCAGATATGATGAGCAAAAGTAAGAAAATCATTTAAACACATTAGCGATAAGGGAAAGTCAATGATATACTGGGCGTAATCGCATCTTATATATGTTATCTTATATGTTCACTGATATATTTCGCGAAATGGATTGATATTAAAAAACATTATTCGTAATTATCACTGGTACTTATTATGAGTTAAAAGAGGTAGGTTAATCCATTTTTGTCACCCACTCTCTTGGTTGGCTTGAAGTGGGCAATACCATTTTCGTTCTACCACTGTCGATTGGCCAAGGCACAGTCTAACATCTAGGCTATGAGCTCTTTGAGGCAAGAAATCAAAGTTTCAATCTTACTCTATCCTATCCTTTAATGACGTTTTCATCTGTCACGCATCCGAAAGGTTAAGATCGAAATGCTTGATCGCTTGGAAATAGGTAAGATGCTGGTGGAAATGAGAGCAGTCCTCTAATAATATCGACGAAACTAATTCGAAATACACGAAAGATCCTTAAAATATATTAAAGACAATAGCTTAGTCATAAATAAGGCGGATTCTCCATCGACATTGGTTGCTTAGTAGATTGCCGGTCCCAACATAGCTGTATAGAACTTGAGGGTTTATACATTTTTATGTTTATTTATTGCTTAGGTGGGTGGACAAGCTCGCGACCCACCTGATGTTAAGTGTAGTACAACGTAAATGCCGTCATCCACCTTGAGACATTCTAAAGTCTCAGTTTAGTTACAACGGATGTCCCACCCTTCAAACAGAAACGCATTACTGCTTCACGGGAGAAATAGGCAGGGCGGCGAGCGGACTCACAAGAGGTCCTACCCCCTGTAATTACGCAAATTATAATTTTGCGTGTTTGATTTTTATTACACGATGTTACTCTTTCAAAGTGGAAGTCAATAGTGAATATTTGTTAAATAAGTATTTCATTAGAAAAATTGGTACTCGCCTGCGGGATTCGAGCACCGTTGCATCGCTATATACGAATGCACCGGACGTCTTATCCTTTAGGCCGCGACGACTTGGATTGGATGGATTTCGTCGATTCGTTCATCACCACTACACTGCTTCGTACGGTTAGCATGGTAACACTGGCGTTGCATTGATAACGATGACAGATCAAAACGCAAACATTGTACAATTGTGTGTGTGTTCAGAGATAAAATAGTTATCCTGAACAATTTGCCGAGCAAAAATAACCTTGGCTTTATTTAAATTGTCTGATTTAGCAAAAATGTAAATTGTTGTAATGAAATTCGTGTTCTCAGACGAGCTCACGGCCCGCTCGATTTTAAATGGTTGCAGCTCATATGAAATTATAGCCGCAGTTGCAGAAGTAACTCTAATTACATACTCTATCAGACATAGATCTTACTTATAATTTAATCATCAGTTCAACTTGTAGTGAGCGATCGGTCTAGGCTAACTAGTCCTACTGCTTTTCTATTATCCATTAGTACTCTTTCTTCATTTATCTGGATGGGTGAAGGTCTCACAGCCCACCCGGTGCTCAATGGTGATCGGAGCCAAATAATCATCACAATGTTATTGCGGCCGCCTAGCTATCTTCTATCTATCTTTTTATCATCTATCTAATTCATTTAAATTTAAATTGAAGCAACAGAATGCTCAGAAGCTTACCGCCACCTAACTTGAGACGTACATGAAGTTGAAGCCTCAAATGCGTGAGGTCAAAATAGATGCATAACGCCAGATACACCATGTGCATGGTCAGCCAACTGTACAACAACCATTATCGTACCTGCTTCGAACAGCGGCTTAGTGACATCGCTGGATACAACCAAACCGTGCGTCTTTTCTTCTAAGCAACGATTACCTTTTCAAAGGTCTGTCGCTGTGAACTCGTCAGCCCACTAATAAAAGCCGACTGACCCATATAAGTATTTTATCTCCTTAAGTTAAAGTGACCAGATGATTTAAGTACTATGCACTTCCTTTTTCATATTTCTTTCCAAACATCTCCCTGATAACCAAGAACAATCTTGTACGCACTTTAGTGTTCTCCATATTCTTATATGGTGTAGAGACCTGGACCATGAAGAAAGCCGATCGCGACCGAATTGGTGCAGTTGAGATGTGTTGCTGACGAAAGATGCTAGAGATTCCCCGGATAGCACGTCGCACCAACGTGTCGATTTTCCAAGAACTCCAGATAAAGACTGGGCTTTCTATCATCTGCCTACGTAGAGTTCTGGAATACTTTGGCCGCATAGCAGAAAGCTAATGATGACTCGTGACTGACAAGATGGACGGAAGTCCTACCACGAGGTAGAGGCCCGAGACGTTGGACTGACCAGATATGGTGGAATTCACTTCGTGACATGAGGTAGGTAAAGTCTCAATAATGTTATCTATGGCTCCGAGCCAAGTACCTTGGTATCACTCGTTAGGAATATCTCAGGACTGATCGACTGATCGACCACTTAGAGGAGGGGGTGGTGAACTGGTGGTAGGACCTCTTGTGAGTCCGCGCTGGTAGGTAACACCACCCTACCTTTTTCTGCCGTGAAGCAGTAATGCGTTTTGGTTTGAAGGGTAGGGCAGCCGTTGTAACTATACTGAGATCTTAGAACTTATATCTCAAGGTGGGTGGCGCATTTATGTTGTAAATGTCTATGGGCTCCAGTAACCACTTAACACCAGGTGGGATGTGAGCCCAACCATCTAAGCAAAAAAAAATCCTCACTAGCCTCGACACCACAGTTCACGCTGCTCTACACTCGGCGGCAGATAGGAGCAAATGGCGTGGAATGATCCAGAATAGTCTCTTGTTGCGAGGAGGTGGTCATTACTTTCAGTATTGAGGAAACCGAAGCGAGAAGAAGAAGAAGAAAACGTAGGTACTTCCATTTAGTTTAAAACAAAATTGAATTTAATTTTAGTTAGGCATAAGAAATGTTATTTAACTGCCTTCTTGATTTACGTCTAGCTCGGGTTCGATTTTGATTAATGGTCGGTCTTCATATTTGATAAGACAATATTAACAATAGGGAACTTTTTCATCGTCCCTCGTTTGTGTGTGTTTCAATTTTACACAGAAAAATCCTAGTTTGGGTATGTTAAATTCTCTTCTTCAACTCGTGTCCACACATGCTCAGTGTAGACTACATATGCACTCATATAAGTATTCATATAAATGGTATGGTAACCTCCTTAGTAAAATTTCTTCGCTAAAACCTACTAAAAAAAGAAAAAATATTCAATGCTGCATTGCAGGCACAATGTGTCAGCAAGTTACGTCAATATGTACCTTAGGATACAAGAAAATATAGATAAGAAATGATTTCATGGGGCAGATACACTATATAAAGGCAATCAAAAGTGACAAGAACTCATTAGTCGAGACAAATCAGCAAAATGGTGTCAGATTTTAGAAAGAAGAAGTTGTTGCACGTTTTCACCGCTTTCTTCGATACCAATGGCAGCGGAACCATTGATAAAAAGGACTTTGACCTTGCCATTGAAAGGATATCCAAATCGAGAGGCTGGAGTGCTGGAGATGCTCAGTACAAAGAAGTTCAAGACACGCTTTTGAAGGTCTGGGATGGGTTGAGCAGCGCTGACATCGACAACGACGGCCAAGTCTCCAAAGAAGAGTGGATTTCCCTCTGGGAGAAGTTCTCCAGCAGCCCGAGTGACTGGCAGAATTTATACTGCAAGTTTATATTTCAACTTGAGGATGCTAGTAATGACGGATCCATCGATAGCGAGGAATTCTCTTCGGTCTACGCTTCTTTTGGTCTAGACAAGGCTGAAGCTGCATCAGCTTTTCAGAAGCTATCCAAAGGCAAGTCATCTGTCTCCTTCGCTGAATTCCAGGAATTGTTCAAAGAATATTTCGCTTCTGAGGATGTGAATGCCCCTGGAAACTTTGTCTTCGGGAAGACCAGCTTCTGAAGTATAGCGAACTGATTGTGATCTTAATTATGATCTGTGTTTAGAATTTGTTGGTCTCGTATTTAAGTGTTTTGTTATTAATAAAAAAATCAATTGGATCCAATATTGTTTTGCCTTTTTTAACAACATATAATGCACCGGGTTTGCGTTCAACCAAGCTATATCACTTACGCTAGGCTCTTGATGGAGAAGTCAATCATACCTTTTTTTAAAGCAAGAATTGAATTATAGTTTTCGTAATTACAAATTAATTAACTTTAATTTCTCAAGATTTTTGGATGACTGTTAAATTTGAAAAATCGCTAGTGAAGTATTCAAAATTTGTATTATTTTAATTATTCAAAGATTGCTTGTAGCTTATTTAAATTCTTCAAAGCCTATTTTAGTTATGCTTGAAGAATTTATTTTAAACATGGCAGTATCTTGAAGCTAACTTAATTCGAAGAATCTTTATTAAACTTCTAAGGCAAATTTAGTTTGGGCTTAAGATATAAATATTGGCGAAAGCGTTATAGCTAATCTACTAACGGGTAGATGAACTCACAACCTACAGATATGTAGTCAAGTGACACAACAAGGCGTCGCCATCAACATTGAGGCATGGTGTCACTAAAGTCTTTAATACATTGGAAGTCTGCCACCTCTTCAAGCACGGTAGAATCAGTTGGAAGGTTGGAAGGGTTTGAAATGCTGTATGTACTGCTGTAATCGCTCACCAAGCCAATTCTTAAACGTTCTAAACAATCTAATTCCGCTGTCTCTTTATTATGGCCGAAATTTACACCACTCATCATAATTCTTAACATCTCCAATTTAAATTAGGTCTTTAGTTTATTTCTTAAGGTATTCGGGTTCTTCAAGGACTTTCGACTTTGACAAACTTTAGTAATAACGAGTTTATGCGCAGGATTTTTAGTTTTGGCTTGTTCTATGCGATTCAGCGACATTAAGTGCTCCTCGTAAATATGGTCGCGTCTAATGAAAGATTGATGCGTACAAAAATAGTACTGCGTGCGATTGTTTGTATTGTTTATGGCAGTCTGGTGTTTGTGTAAATGTATTACACTTTAATGATCGTTCCTTACCGTAACTATTTTGAATACCAAACATAAATAAGAATACATATTATACAACATATTTTGTTGAAAATGTTCTCCTTACACCTTATTGTCTGTTAATAATCCAGAATTATCTCTGAATAGCCAAAGACAACTTTACTGATTCTTTATTGAAATGGAAAAAAAAAATAAAAAACACTAAAATATCAATTTCACTCAAAAAAAAGGGATTTACTTACATAATAATAATGTAGATATATGTACTTACAAATGTCGTCAAGAGATTTTAAGAATCAATGAATGATGAAAATCGCTGTTGCAGCGACGATGTCGTGTGACCCTAAGTATCTTAATTTATTTTATGTAGTTCCTAGTTCACCTGGTGTTTAGTGGTAACCGGATCACATACATATCGTTAATGCCACCTTGAGAGATGAGTTCGGAAAGCCTCAGTTTATTCGAGATTCCAGTAATTCCTTCACCGTGGAGTTATTTGTATATCATTAGTAAAAATGGTCCCTGCCAGCGAGATTCGAACACTGGCAAACTCGCATAGCTTGATATGAATACACCGGGCGGCCTATCCTTTAGACCACGGCGACTTCAAGATAACCTTGACGAGCAAATAAAGGACAATGAAAAGTATTTGCTTCTAATCATTTTCAATTATCATACTGCTGTGTCAGAAACTACTGCAAAATAAACAAACGTAAAATAGGTCGAGAGATCCCCTTTAAGATACAAACTTACAGCGGTTATAAATAAAATATAATTTAGCGAAACAGCACGAATAAAATGGACATTTTTGTCGGAATACGACGAGTGCTAATTACCAAGCTAAATTATCGCGCTGAGCCTCCGCCCGGGGTTTGCGTGTCCGATTTAAGTTATAAGCGAGAGCGATTTATGTTTTTAGATTGGACTAAATTTTTTCGGTTTTTTTGTTTTTTGATTTTATAGTTTTTTCTAACTCTAGACCATATGTTTTATAAAATCGAAGTAAAAATTGTGACGACATTTTGTAGAAATAATTATGGTTTTAATAGCTCTTTCTAAGAATAACTCAGTATTAAACTTCGCAGCTATCTGCTTTACCGATCGTTTTCACTGTATCAAATGTTTCAAATTGTATCAATTTAATTCAGTATCCCGGCAGATTACCCAAGAGTCGTTGATATCATTAACAATATTAATAAATATATGGGTAATAACTCTAAACTATGTATATATATTATTATACTTTTTTGTGCATGTTTTTGTAAATTCATATAAATTTCATTGCACCTACCACTATTTACTCTCGACTACCTTTGGTTGATTGGTAGGGAATGCCTTGGGCATTAAGTCCGTCAATATAAATTTTACATGAAGTGTAATAAATAAATAAATAACTCTACATATCTAATTTTCCAGTAATGGGACATATCGTGATCACTTTGGAAGAGACTTATGTCCAACAGTAACATGTCTGTAAACTGATGATGGACAGTCAAGAATAAATATGTACATACTGTGTTAGGATTTCTTTCTTATGACTTGTACCAAAACAGAAGGATCTAGTGGCTAGCTGGAGGGTCTCCAAGAGTGGCTCCGGGATATTTATTACACCGTTATTACGCATAATCGCTGTTTAAATCTACCTGTTTTATAACGTGATCACCCACTTATTAACCTAAAATATGAAAAGTTACTCGAATCCGGATTTTATCTCTCAAATTGTGGGTCGCTAACTTAGCGAGCTACCGTTTTTTATCGGTCACGAGCCTAGTATAACTTATGAATCAATATTTTCGGGAGAAGTTACGGTTATGATCTAGAACAATGAGGTTTTATGTAAAAAGAATTATGTGCTTCTGCCTAATTCTAACTAAATTCAAGTTTTTTTGGCGATTTGCAGCAAACAGGTTGACGATAATAGCACTGGTATGTCCAGTCGAATTTCTCTTTCTCATTGGTGATAATTAGTGCATCTTGATAGCCTGTAAAGGTAGATAAAAAAAAACTAATCGTTTTATTCCTGTTGGAACAGAATCTGGGTGGGGTAAGGGGACGAGATGGCGTCACGAGTTGCATCCTGAGGATACTCCTGGTAGCTACGGGCCAGGGCTAGGACGAGTCACAGAACCTTATTGAGGTTGCTCTCTTATTAAGTAGACGAGCTCACGGCCCACCTGGTGTTAAGCGGATACCGGAACCCATAGACATCTACAACGTAAATGCCGCCACCCACCTTAAGATATGAGTTCTAAGGTCTCAGTATAGTTACAACGGCTGCCCACCCTTCCAACCGAAACGCATTACTGCTTCACGGCAGAAATGGGCAGGGTGGTGGTACCTACTAGTCAACAAAGAGGGGATTTTGAAGCGTCAATATCACAATTCCATGTTTGAAGCATTCGCTTAGAAAAACTAAAGGAATTGATAGAATTCAAATGTCAGGAAGAGCTGCATTGTATTTTTTGCGGTAAAAAGAGCAATGTATTCGGAATCCGTCCCGTGTGTCAGTTACGTTTGCCCGCAACGACACGGAGCAGCGAATTATTGTGCAGCTAATAGAACTCGACTTTTATGTCAATTAATAAAAACTAGTGATCCCGCAGTAGTCGAAATTCGACTATAATTAATTGGAATTGTAAGTTTGTACACTATTATGATTGTATTTTATACTTCTATAATCACAAATTTCGCCAAGGCTACACTATAAAAAATATTAACAAAGACAAACAATATTTAATTTATTCTCAATTTGACAACAGACGTCAAGAACAAAAGTTTGACAATAAATAGTATGCATGCGTATGTGCGTCAAATACATGGTATGTAGTGTGTGTAATGTTTTCTTTATTGATTTAACGTATCTTTTATGCATTATTTAAAAAAAATATTAGCATTGTGCACCTCTTCTCTATATTCTCTATAAGTGTGGAAAATTTCATACTCCTCCGTCCGCGCAATTTTCGTAAAAAGGGATACCAAGTTTTTACTTCACGTATTAATATATATAGATTTTTAATATGAATGTCGTGATCAAAGATTATGAGTTATTGAGATTCCTTGTTTTATTTTTCTGACAAGACCTATTTAAAAGAAATTTTGCAAGCTTGACAAAATATAGAGCCCCCTTTCCAAGTTATTTGAGTAACATTAACAAAAATCGTAAAAATCGTATCATACTATAAGTTTTGTTGATTTGTAAGTTGGGTGGACGACTTCATGTCTCACCTGGTGTTAAGTGGTTACCGGAGCTCATAGACATCAACCACGTAAATGCCAAAATCCTCCTTAAGAGATGTTTTTCCCTACCTAAGCTGATAGTCTTGAGAGACCATTTCAGCGTAACCTTAACTAGTAGGTGAGCTCACGGAGCTCAAACCTGACGACGTTACTAACACCGGATCGGGAACGCGACCCGCAGAGAAGATTCGGCGACAAACTCAATGGTGTGAGTTAGTTTACTCGCCGAGCCCTTCGTCGCAAGCGACGGGTTCGACGAGAACGTTGACCGGTTTTACTAGTAAAATTATTTCAACGTTATTTCATTTTATTTTTTATCTTATCATTAACTCATTCAGAGGATCATATAACATGTACATGTACATGTACTCATGCTCATTTTGAAGTCATTGTGGCCTAAAGGATAAGACGTCCGGTGCATTCGTGTTGAGCGATGCACCGGTGTTCGAATCCCGCAGGCGGGTACCAATTTTTCTAATGAAATACATACTCATTGACTTCCACGGTGAAGGAATAACATCGTGTAATAAAAATCAAACCCCCAAAATTATAATTTGCGTAATTACTGGTGGTAGGACCTCTTGTGAGTCCGCGCGGGCAGGTACCACCGCCCTGCCTATTTCTGCCGTGAAGCAGTAATGCGTTTCGGCTTGAAGGCTGGGGCAGCCGTTGTAACTATACTTGAGACTTTAGAGCTTATATCTCATG